TTTATAGATAACTTCAACAATTTCAAATTTAATGAAGATTCATTGTACATTCTCTGTAGTTGTTACAATTTTTAAGGTTAAACTGTCAACAATAATATACAGTGACATTGTCAACTTTACTGTACATAGTCGGAATCTAGCCAATTGTATGCTATGATTATCAGCAATCAGTGATTTCAGATTGTGACATTATTGGTAAAACAGTAATAGTATGTATTTGTATTGTTTTCTTGGCTAGTGAAGTCTGCAAAGTTGGATTCAAAAGTGTTTACCCTAACATGTACACACAGTAAGGTAAATTCTCCAAACAACTTACAAGTTTGCAATTTTTACTCGTCTGTTTCTGGAAAGTGTTGACGAAATATAACTTTTATGTACATCTTTCAAATGTGTGAGCCTTGTTACAGCTTGGTGACATACTTAAGTTAAAATGTAGAATTCTAATTGAAAACAGTAGTCATCTTTATAAAAGTTCAAATGATCACTCTATATTTCAAATTTTATAAGTCAATTCTTTACACTGATACAAAAAGTTAGAATATTGGACAAAGTTTTGGCATTCTTATTAATGAAAGTGTATTTACTTTGAATACACAGGAATTTATAATGACAACGTTTGTGTATTGTACATAACTGACAAGTGTATAAATTTGGTAAGGCCCACTCGTGGTTTGTCAAGTTCTGCTCGGTTAAGAAATGCTCAGATCAATTTTTGTGGAGTCGTCAAACTTTAAATGGCTCTTTTGATTTTAAGGGGCTATGTGGGCTACATAACAGACACTTTTTACTGGCTTACCGGTTTAATGGCTCTTTTGATTTTAAGGGGCCATGTGGGCTACATAACAGACTTTTGATTTTAAGGGGCCATGTGGGCTACATAACAGACACTTTTTACTGGCTTACCGGCATTTTTCAGGTGCCATTGGCTCGTGGGCCCCGCCAATTTCGAGCCCTGCATCTGACAAATGGCACTAGCTAGGTACAGAGCAGTTGTTTATTAGAGACAGGGATACCACAAACATTAAACTACTAGTAACAAAGTAGTTACATATTTAAAGCCAAGGGTATCAATAAGCCTGCAACCCGAGTGGAATATCAGATCAGTGACAATTGGCCGATATTGAGATCAAATTTTGACAATCTGTATTTGTGTGTTCCATACATCTGGAGATCCCTAATGTATATATACAATAGTGGGATGCATCAAGTTTCAAAACTCATCTTCAAATAAGTCACACACTTATCAGACTACAAAAAAAGGACACAGGAATACAAAACAAGTACATATTAGATAAGTCACACACTTATCACATCTCATTTTTTACTATAAATACAGTACTTACCTTTGATCTGTATTTTTGATATAAATACAGTACTTGCATTTCATCTCATTTTTTGATATACTTGTGAAAAATCTGTGGATACAATCTGAGTTCAGGAAGTACTTTATTTGTGAAATATCTGTGGATACAATCTGAGTTCAGGAAGTACTTTATTTGTGAAATATCTGTGGATACAATCTGAGTTCAGGAAGTACTTTATTTGTGAAATATCTGTGGATACAATATGAGTTCAGGAAGTACTTTATTTGTGAAATATCTGTGGATACAATCTGAGATCAGGAAGTACTTTATTTGTGAAATATCTGTGGATACAATCTGAGATCAGGAAGTACTTTATTTGTGAAATATCTGTGGATACAATATGAGTTCAGGAAGTACTTTATTTGTGAAATATCTGTGGATACAATATGAGATCAGGAAGTACTTTGCCTTTCATAATACATATTTTCTACTTGAATATTTCTTGATTTGTTTAAAGGTTTACAATAAAATAAATGTAAGAGGAATATTTCAACATTATCTAGTATATACTTGTTTTGTATTTTTGTAGTCTGATAAGTGTGTGACTTATCTAGTATGTGCTTGTTTTGTATTCTTGTGTCCTTTTTGTAGTCTGATAACTGTGGACTTATCTAGTATATACTTGTTTTGTAGTCTGATAAGTGTGTGACTTATCTAGTATGTGCTTGTTTTGTATTCCTGTATCCTTTTTGTAGTCTGATAAGTGTGTGACTTATCTAGTGTGTACTTGTTTTGTATTATTGTTCTTTTTGTAGTCTGATAACTGTGGACTTATCTAGTATAAACTTGTTTTGTAGTCAAAGGTAAGTACTGTATTTATATCGAAAAATGAGATCAAATGAAAGTACTATATATCAAAAAATGAGATCAAACGAAAGTACTGAATTTATATCAAAAATACAGATCAAAGGTAAGTACTTTATATCAAAAAATGAGATCAAACGAAAGTACTGAATTTATATCAAAAATACAGATCAAAGGTAAGTACTGTATTTATATCAAAAATACATATCAAAGGTAAGTCAAATCAACCGAGTCAGCATAGAGTTAGGGACGAGAAAATAAATAAAATATAAAATTTTACTGAAAAGTTTCATATTTATCTAGTAAGTTTTAGAGAGTATGTAAATAAAATATGCAAACTTTCAGATGAAAAAAGAGATTTTTATTTTAACATAAAAATTACTTTGTTCTCGGAGTAGTCAACATTCTGACTCCATACATTCACGGACAAATCTTTAGTAAAAATAGTTAAAGAAAAAAATCTGACTTTCTGTGAACAAAAGGACTTGTAATGTTTATTAAAGTGTTGCCAAATTTCATTAAGATACAAAAATCATATTAAAAGTTATAATATGTGAAATCTGATGGTTACTTTGTGGATACAAAGTCACATTGACCAACAACTTATGGAGTTAACAATCCTGTACTAAAAATGTATATCTACAAAACAAATTAATTAACTGCATAGCTAATTTTCAAGACAAGTTATATAACATACAGAACTGTTCATCTCAAGATTACCTTGCTGGTGAGGTGCACTGCTGGTTGAAGGTCCAAATCCAAGCAAAGAAACATCTTCAACAACTACAGGGTCAGTCCCATGGTCATATGGACACATATCTCCTTGCATGCAATATCCCTTTTCTGTCGAAAGTTAAAACCAGTATCAATGGCTGACAAACAGGAGGTTGCACACTAAGTTCAGCAATGATATAACAATTTCCCCAAAAAGAACACTTGAGAATTTAAACAAAAAACATAATAATTTATTTTTTTAATCTATACTAGAACCTTAAAAATAAAAAGAGTATTTTATTGATTTAATACCATTTATTTCAATGAAAGTTACTTTTCAATTTATGTGTGAGACTTGCTTTTGTAAATAAACAGTATTCATTACAATGGTTTAAAAATATGTCTTTTAGAATACATACCATCAAAATCTCTACAGCGTTTCGTTCCTTGAATAGGGTATTGGTTGATACTGATAGATGGCACAACTGATGCTGTGGTACATGCTGGATCAGGTACTGTGATGATTGAATTTGGACCTGTGCTGTGAGGAGGAACACGATAATCTGTATCTCCATGATCAACTTGGTGCTGAGGACTACCACCGCGACCAGTGGAATCTCTTGAATTCTTTCTTGCATGTGCTAATATATATCATATAGATATCACATCATCATAAAATTATGACATAGTAAAAATACAAAACAATATTTATTGAAACTGTTTTCAACTATTCACCAATTTACTTTTTTAATCAATATGGCATTTCATACAAGTGAGGATAGGAGGAGGAGTAGATTCAGTGCTGGAATTTCTAAAGAGGAGCCAGTTTAGAAGGTATGGACATGTCAAGCAGACAGATGAAGAGAGGTACCCAAAGAAATATATGTAGGGAATACCAATCAGAAGAAGGCTAGTAGGAAGACCAAGGGTAAGATGGAGATAAAATATTGAACAAGCAGTTGGAAATAGAGGAACAAGAATTATACATAAACAAAAGTATGCGATGAAGTTTTGTGGGGTAATGCATCTAATAAGCTTTTAGCTTAACTCAACAGTTATCTCTTTTATTACAAAAAAAAAAGACTTGTAGTTCATATTTTTTTCTTTATTTATTTAAGTCAATGATTATTTCTATCATTACTAACATAGTTTCACTGTAATGAAAGCACCAGCCACTGGCTGATGATGAAGTAAATCTATAAAGTCAATGTTTAGTAACAATACTCACTGTACCAAGACCACTTCATTAACTCTTTGAGCATGGGCTTGGTCCCTAGGACCAACCTTGTAACCACTTTGTATTTGTTATAGTTTTAATTTAATTCTATAACTTTTAAATTAATAAGCAAATGTTAACGAAATTTGGCAGATTATCAGTAAACATTAAAATGCTTTCATACGCAAAATATCTAATTTTTTTATTAATTCTTAAGGTTTGTAAAGCAATCTTTTTCTCGTGTCTTTTTTTTCTTTTCGCAAATTCCCCTTTCTATCATGCAAAGTAATATTCATTTTAAGATAAAAAATACTTTTATGCATCAGAAAATTTTTAAATTTCACATTCAAAATCTTTATAATATCCCGATAGTTATCAAACATTTCTTTAGAAAAACTTTATATTTAATCTGTTATTTTCATTAATTAATCCCTGTATGGGTTTGGTAGATTTGAACGATTTTGCAACCACAATAAAAAAATTAGGAAATAAATATAAATTATGCCTCTTTAATTCTAGAATGAATACAAATTATAACATGAAAATATAAATGTTTAGACGAAATAGCTTAAATCTCACATTATACATTTATATATATTTATTATATTGACCTTTCACCCGTGCTTGGCTAACAATACAAAAGTTACAATGATGCAGTTCACATGCAATCATGTTACAGTATCAAATGACATAAAACTGACCTTTGGTCTGTGCAAAGCAACTTGTCTTGGCTGTGTTTTAGTAGACTATTATTTTATAAAATACAGTCACATATCAATTATTATACATTATATATGTATATA